ATAGGAAACATTAAGTGGTGTGAAGTGCACTGCTTGGATAATTTGCAATAGACTCATAGAAGCAGGACTGAAGACCCATAAAGCAAGGAAGAAGCCCTTCATTAAAGAGAAACACAGAACATCCAGGCTGGAGTTTGCAAAAACAAAAAACAATGTGTATTTGACACAGGGCCATAACCATAACCTGAGAAAGGAGTGAAACTGAAAATTTTGCCATGGCTTCTTAATTTTTTCCACAGCTGTATGTCACATTATAAGGCCATGTAGGCTTCATCCAGTGTTCAAACAGCAAATGCCATGTTTTTTTTCCTAACCCAGGAATTAGTGCATAGTCAAAAACACACACAAAGGACAATTCTTAATCACCAGTTCACTTGAACTTCTCATTATTGTATTGTGCAGAGGGGAGTTAAAACACTCAGGGGGAACCCAGGAAAAACAGATGACAGGTGTAAAAACACTGGTGAAGACACTTAATTGCCAAGCTGCACAATTTTCTTTAACAGTCTGAAGATTGTGTCAAAAGGATGTGAAGGCTTAAGACCTAGATCTGAGAGCTTATGTTAGCTCCTTAATAACTGTAAATAATTTAATTATCCTTAATAATTTGTAAATAATAATTTGAAAATAATGGCTCTTAACTGTTTTCACTACTCTTGGAAGGATGAGTTATTCAAATATTCCAGACCAAAGTAGCTTTAAGGATTAGATGGTGTGTTACTGGGAGTGGGGCGATAAGCAAGAGGAAATTCAGGATTTAGGATTAATTTTAAAGTCTTGTTTTGGATTTTTTTTCTTACCCATATTATGATTCAGAAGAAGTCTAATCACAAGGAGACTTAAGAACATGGTCTAAATGCATACGAAGTTGACCATAAGTGATACCCCTAATAACCACATAATTTCATCATCTGGCAATGATATCTCATCTTCATTACAGCAAGCATGTCAGACCCTTGCAAGTGATTCCTCCAAAAGACAACACTGAAATAGCAAAGTCCTGAATTAGTGGGATGCAATTAAGTACAGGAAGCATGCATATACAGTACTACATTATAGGGGCAGTGTGTGGTTTAGCAGGTTAGGGTGTTTTGCCTGTTATTAGAAAGTCACTGGTTCAAATACCAGGGTCAGCAGAGTGATTTCATTTTTGAGTGAGGCCCTAACCCCCAATTCCTCTAAGAACTGTCTGACCCTGTCCTCTCATTTGTATGTCACTTTGGATATAAGCTTCTGATAAATAAAATGTAATGTACATTATTAATACAGTTAAAAGAACCTAAGGTAAAATTGACCTAAGTTTAGGGGGTGATGGGGGTTTAGATGGTGTTTCTGCAAATATGACTGCATTTGCTCCAGTCATCCTTACATGTTAGGTCTTCAGGGCTGCAAGATGGAACGTGCCCAGGATCTGAAGGCCCCCTGCTGTTTAAGATGGAGCTTCTCACACAGTCACGTCTGCCCTGATCTATCACGTTCTGTCTACCGACCCGGGGGGAATAATGAACAGTAATACTGTTGACGGACCACAGAAACATGCAGGAAAAGGCAAATCGCTGACACAAACTTAAGATGTAATTTGCCTGTTCGATCATGTGCAACACCTGAGCTTTTTTGTATAATGGATAAGATTCGATTGTTTCAATTTCAAACTTACTTTTGCTTGATCTAATTCCATCATTAATTTACTCCTAGCTAGTCAACTGTGAGATGAACCAAATTCTGGGCATATCTAATAGAGAAACACTGCAGATCTTTTTTTTTTACACTAGATGCTGAGTGGATTTTACAGACCTTAACTGGGGCTTCGGTTCATTGCAATCATTCCATTTCTGTAGGCTGGCACACCTGCGCTGTCTTCGTCCTCTGTTGTGTTTGGGAGTCTGCAGTTTGTTATGTGTACACTGTACAGTGTAGCTTGTTTGCTAACAATCTGAGGTGTTACTCTGAAGTTCTTCTTGTCATGTATGGTTTTTATTGTTGCAGATGCAGAAGAGTAGAGTCTGAAACTGAATGGTAGGATGGGCTCATTAACAATGAGAACCATAATTGAAAAAGTTATTCAGTTGCTGGCTCATTACAAGAGTGAAGATAACTTTTTCCATTATAACTCGCTGCTGCATCATTCTTCCTCAATGGGCTTTTCAACTGGGTACCCACTATGCCCTAATGGAACAATTGCCTTCTCCTTTAGGACCATAGTGTTGAATTGACACATTCCTGGTCCTGGTCTTGAATCCAAACTATAAGTACAATGAAGAACAAACATATCTTTTATTTCCTAATACATTTCAAGGTTACAACTGAACATGCAATCTACTGTTTTAAAAAGACAGTGTTATCAGTAATGGTGACAGATTTTTACTACGGAATGTCCTCTTCCTGTTCTCTCCCACTTCCTGTTTATACGTTTGCCTAAGATACCCTCTCCTACATGTCGGCCATTATTGCCCAGGGCTTGCTCTGGTTTTCCCCTGTTCTCTCCTGTTGTTAATCTGCATTTGGTATCTTGCAGCCTGTAGTACATCATGTGACTCCAGCTTCAGCCTAGGTTTTCTTGTTTTTTTTTTTCTTTCTTCCATTTTTGGCTTGTTTGATGTTGACATCTGTGGTTTGTTTATTTTTACAGTTTTCTTTTCTCCATTACATCACACTGGAAGGCATTTAAACGGAATGATTTACATATGACAAAAAGCAGTCTGATAGTCTAGGTTCTCAGGGTCACTTATCGCTTCCAAGTTCATGATCACCACGTCATGTTTGCCGCTGTTCATTGTCCTTACCTCTGATCTGCTCCTGGACACTCACACAAATCCCTCCTTGTTTCAATGTATCAACTCACCAGCAGCAAACAGAATAAACATTGGGCCAGCATACAAATAACGTCACATCGCCTACTCTTACCGTGTACACAGTCACATGCTACTCACCATGTTTGATTTTCATATGCAAAAAAAAAAAAAAACTTCAGTGAATCCACCGTCTTTGCCACATAATGAAACATCCACTTCCACTTGTTTTCAATTACAACCATTCAGGAAATTTTCCAGTTCTGCCTCATTGCCTTCAGCAAAGGGTAGGAAATGATGTCCCGTTTGCCATTATTAAGTAATGGGTTTTTTTTTTCTCCCTCTGGAAATTCTGTTAAGTGTCTTGCCATTAAAGAGTAAGTGAAAGAACCCCAGTTGAATCAGAATGGTTATTACGAAAATACCAAAAGCTCTGCAACAACACATTGCATTGAATTCATACTGTACACTTACTGCCCATACTGCTTAACTTTTAACCTTCCCATTAGGAGTAACCAATGACCACAAACTGGGCCATTTTTCAGCCAGTGTCAATCTCATCTGGAATGACAACAAATGCAGGCATTCTACACTTTGCCTGTAGCCAAACCGATAAATCAAGCGCCACGAAATATATCTCTCTGTCCAACAATGACAAATACCTACTCCAGGATTACTTAAAAAAGGAGATACAGGTCATCCTGGCAGAAATATGAACAAGATTTAATAAAGTAGCAGTAATCTAAAATGTATACAGCGTGCCTGGGCTGGCCATCTGGCAAGGCAAGCATTTTGCCAGTGGGCCGAAGGGGTAGCAAGGCCCCCACTGACCTGCAAAATTTATCTTCGGTATGTGTTGTGGGCCCGTCTGGGTAAATGTCCAGAGACAAATTTTTATTTAATTTCAGTCCAGCCCTGATGAACAACAGAAGTTAGTTACAGTTGTGCTTCAATTAATTAATTACTCAGACTAGACCCGTAAAATATCTCATTGCCTAGATGTTGGGAAATTGGTCAACAGGTGCCATTTCCCTCGCACAGATAGGCAGGCAAAGTAGAACTCTCTTTTGTTTACAAAATGCATAATCACCTCCGTTATTTAAAAGCAGTTTGGCTAGAATGTACTCATCGATTTTTAAATTTTATTTTATTGATACATGGGGCTTTTGAGGTAAGATGTCTATAGCAGTGTTTCCCAATCCAGTTCTCTGGGCCCCACAGTCAGTCCACATTTTTGCTCCCTCCCAGCTCTCAAGCATAGACTGTGTGTGGGTCCCCGAGGCCTGAATTGAGAAATGCTGCTTTAAGGGGAATAAAACTCATTCTAAGGTACAGGTGTAATTGTACAAGCCACATAGCACATTTGTACCAAGCCTCTCCCCAACATGCTATCCCATACAAACACATTAGCGCCGCCTCGTAGCTTTATGTCTTCTGAATAATGCAAGAGGTTAAAAATCGCTAGACTCAGATGTGCCTCGATCACTCAGGTTTCATTGTCATGTAAAACGGCTGCTGAATGCACAATGAGCACACGATTGATGCTGACAAAGTAAAACGGCCTCAGTGAAGCGAGCATTGGAGCCGACATCTCAACAAAAACAAACTACTTGCAAATTAGGCTCACGTACGCAAACCTAACTTTCGAGCTTCCTTCGTGAAGTGTCAATCACGGAGATATGGCCGTTCCATAGACCTTTTTAAAGAGGACTAAGAATATCCTGGACAAACACACTGATTTCGTCATTTCCCATTTTTATCCTTCACTTGAGCCCTGGGAGGAGGCGGCTCCCTTAGTGATGCTGGTGGGGGCCCTCGTCAGGCTGGGGCGCTGAAACTGGGACTGGGGACGAGGTCGCCATGGGCTGGGTTCTGCGGTTGCCAGTCAGGGATGAGGGTCTGGGATTTCTTTTAGACGAGTCTTTATACAAAGCCTGGCAAGGACACGGGCCAGACAAGTCCAGTGTCCAGGATAATGGACAGCTTGGTTGCCATGGGGATGCCGGCGAACTCCATCTTTGGGGGGCGTAGGGCTGCACCCACCCCTGGTCTGTCTCTGGCCGAGACTCTAGGGAGAGAAGGGTACGGCAGCTGGGGGCCCGTGAGGGACAGAGGCCACAGAAATTTATATCATATACCAGGAACCACTGTGGTGTCTTAAAAGTAGTATTAGCTCTAGAAAACAAATACAAATTAAAAGTTGCACCACAAAATTGTCAAAATGATTTTAATACAAAGACATTCCCAGAACAAGGCCGTCTTTCCCAATAGCCAAACAATGACAACAATGATTCTTATTCAGTAAATAACGGTAAATCATACATATTTTATATATATACTGCATATTTTTATGTATAAAAATTGCTTTATATTGCTCATTTAAAATGTACAGGTTTATTAAATGGTTGCATATAACCAAACTAAATTCTGTCCAACTGGCTGTCTCAAAATAGATGTTACAGTATATTTTGTTACATGTATACTTCTGAAATGTGTCATACAATATACACAAAGTGATTTGTCAGTATTTACCAGTATAACAAGACAAAATGCTCGATAAATTCTGAGAGGAATGAATGAGGTCAGCATTTCCTTGTAGGAGGGCACAGCGAAAAACTATACATCAGTGGATCTCAACCTTTCTGCATTGCGACCCAATTTTTTCGGTCATGTGCATAAATGTGCAGTATTTGTATAAAATGAACATACAAATATTTCACTTAAAGTAGCAACTTCCTACAGAGACACACACTAAACCAAAAACCATGTTTTGAATAAAATCCTAAAGAAAGTGCTTTACTGGCTATCAGGTCACAAAACATCACAAAAGAAGCTAAATATTTTAACACCTGAAAATAGCCCAACTTTGGTACAAACGCATAGTGTACATGTCTATGTATTACATCATCTGTATACATTGGCTTTAAATTGTTAGTTTTTCTATTTTTTAATGTTAATCATACGAGTCATAGATTATGCCAACTGAGTTTCATGGCAAGTATGAACACGGACTCTAACGTCTAGATGCTCCAACGATCTGCAGGATGAACAGGAAGATCTGCACAATGTCTAAGTAGAGGGAGAGAGCTCCATACACATATTCCTCTGGGCTGATGGAATGCTTGCGGTTGCCCAAGAGTAGCTGGGTATGGTATGCTAAGAACTGAAAAACATCGAAGAGTGTCAGTGTTTCAGTTCAAGTGAGGGCACCACTATTCTACCATGCAAGGGGATACAAAGGAAGGACTCACCAAGGTGAAAGCGATGGCTCCTATTGCTGCGTACAGCATATGAAGCCAGGGAATCTAGCAGATGAAGGATGAGACAGACAGACACACACACACACACACACACACATTACATACAGTACTGCTGCTTTATACACAATCTTGCCAAAAACTTCCCCTTCTCAATTCATGCTTAGATAAAATTTTCTCAAGGTATAAAACTGATACTTTGCCAGAATGAGTAGGCGGCTAAATTGTTTCTCAATTCAAATGGGCATTATTGCTGCCTGACCGTGAATTTGTATTTTACAAGCAGTGAGGTATTTGCAGAACTTACGTATTTGAATGACAGCACAATGGCTGTGATGATGCCGGTGACGAAGACGACCATACCCAGGACGCAGAAGAAACCACCGCACGATGTGAAGTCCACCTAAGCAAAGACAGGAACCATCTCACCACATTTATGAACTGTTCACTTATCAGTAGCACAATGTAGCAAGGAACCTTTTGCGAAATATTGTGGGGGGCATTTCAGAGCCAATTCAATTCTTAAGTACAAATTCACATTTGAGACCTCTGTAGTTCAGTTCTTTCTAGTGGGAATAACATTTTTCCCATTCATCTGTACTGCAGTTCATTTGAGAGGGCAACAATTCCATTTTAAATACCTCGGATGCAAGTTCTAGATATTTCAAATTACATTTTTACTCATCTCTTTTTAGATGTCTACAATTCAATTATGAATAGTCACAATGTCTATTTTAGAGATTCAAAATGGACAACAGTTCAAGATATCTGTAATGTAGTTACAGATATCACTATCAGCAGATATCCACAATTTATTTGTAGATATCCTCAACTGTATTCTTACTAGTGATAATTTGAATTGTAGATATCCGCAACTGAATTCATACTAGCACAACAGTAGTTTTACATATCTATAATTACATTAAATTGAAATACAATTATAGGCAAGAAAAATGTGTGTTTACATGTTAAAATGGCTTGCCATAAATGCCNGTTCAAGATATCTGTAATGTAGTTACAGATATCACTATCAGCAGATATCCACAATTTATTTGTAGATATCCTCAACTGTATTCTTACTAGTGATACAGGGCATTTGAGATATCTAAAACTGCGTTCTTACTAGTGCTACTGTAGTTTTACATATCTATAATTACATTAAATTGAAATACAATTATAGGCAAGAAAAATGTGTGTTTACATGTTAAAATGGCTTGCCATAAATGCCTCATTCCAGCCCTACTTGCCTAAAATCTTGATATTGATTGATGTTTAAAAAGTTTTGCTTGATAATAGTGGCATAAATCTGATTCCATAGGCATCATTGCCAACGTAGTAGACTATTGGTAGATAAATCATATTTGGCTATAGTCTATTTTGGGTACATTTACTTTATAATAATTACTACAATACAAAAATTCACAACATATATTTTTTCATTATAATGAAGCCCCAGAAGACACATCCATAATGCTTGACACTGCATACTGAAAGAAGCTGACATTTTTAGCATTATAAACCAAAATTAATTTGCTTTTTATGCCTCAAAGTCAAATTAACACACAACTTCACAAGTGCTGCTCATGCTGTTGTTCGATCGTCTTGACTGTGTGTTGCTTTTACCTTGGTCTGGAAGCAGAAGATTGTGACGATAATGCAAACAACTGCCGTTATTCCAAGGGCCAGAAACACAGATTTTGTGTCATAGTAGCTGAAAAAAGGTGAAATGCTTTGATGAAACCAAAGATAAAACAGTTGATACAGCTGTACTGTCACGTAATGATTTAGGCAAAAAGCAATGAAATATTTAAAAGTGGTGCATCTCACAAACCTTGCAATAGTTCCTGTCATGTATGACATGGAAAGAGTCTGGGGAAAAAAAGAAGGGTTCATCATTTTCCATTCATCTATTTTTCATACTGTTTATTCAGTTATCAGACTGTGAGCTTGGAGCCTAGGCAAACATGGGGCACAAGGCAGAGGTCACCCGGGACAGGATGCCATTCCATCACATGGCATACACTCCAAAACAAAAGTCACAGACTGAGTAATACAGACTATAATTCGTATGTTTTTGGACTGTAATAGGAAATCATTACAAACACAGAGCGACCACATAAACTCCACAGTCACAGGGCTGGGGAAGAAATCCACCCACAGAGCCAGCACACCTCCCCACACACAACAAACTGACTCTGGGATGCAACTGCTCCCCCTAATGGTCAGATGAAAAACCTAGCCGAACAAGCCAAGTTCAATAAAATTAAATTGTGTACAGTTATACTTATAAAATGTGGCTTGTGTTAGCCAAGTCAAAGTGTAATTATTTATTATAAATGTATTTACTGTTATTTACTATCATTTGAACCGGTAGCTTTCTAATCATGGGCCCAAACCCACAGAGCTACACATTGCTTATCCAGCATAAGGTCACAGGGCTGGGTGGGAAATGTGTTTGTGGACTGTGACAGGGACGTCTGACGTGGACTGACTGGGGGGCCCTGAGGACCAGTTTGGGAAACGCTGACATGGGTCAATAGGGCACCATTTGATTAGGGGCCATAAAACGGACGAGCAAAAAAAAAAACAAATCTAAACAAATACATGATATTAGTAGGGGTGGCACGGTTCACAAAACCCACGGTTCGGTTTGTATCATGGTTTTAGGGTCACGGTTTTCGGTTCTGTACGGTTCTTGTT